AGCATCACATTTCTTCTTGAGTATTAATAAAAACGTGAGTAAGGAACACGTAGATGGATGTTTTTTGAAGCCTCTCGTTTTAACTGGTAGTACATGACCTAACATACCGGTCGGTTTTTGTCGGCTTTTACCGGTCTGAAAATTTATTTCAACCGGCGGGACCGGACCGGACCGGTTACAACTCTGCTGTGTGTAAAAACCTTGGTAGAATTCTGGAAATGACTTTTCTTCCTATATGGATTTAGGTGTACTGTCGTTAAGAAAAAAAACGGTGGCGGAAACAATGACAAACTTAACGGATGTGTTCATGCTTGATAAAGATCGGAAAACAGATGCAGAACTTCTGTTGGAAGTTCATAAGCATGGTTTCTCAAGAATACCGGTTTATAGTATTGACAGGTACTTCATTTCGTTCTGTCATTTTTTTATTGCAGAAACAAATTATCTTCTCTTTTAGAAATAATGTTATTGGTATTGTAAAATTGCGAGATTTTGCGTTAATTACACCTGAACAACAGAATTTAACAGTCAAACATGTTATGGAGTTCCATTCTCGTAAGTATCTGCGATATTTCTAAACAGAATTTGGTCAAGATAGTATGACATTTTGAGGAAAAGGACTGTTGAGCCTGCGAAAGAAAATACAGAAAAAGATTCTTGTTCCGCTTACGACTGTAGTATCTTTATTAGAAGGAACTTTTTACCCATTGTATACTTTTATACGGGCGTGTCGATAAACTTATTTTTTCTTCTTTAGATCCAGTTGGACATACGAAACCCGACGCTTGCTTATACAATTTGATGCAAGAATTTTTGAAATGTATATATTTTTAGCCTTTGAACTTAATACTAGAATCTGCTGTTATTTTGCTTTCAGCACGTTATCACATAGCACTTGTTCAAGAAGTAGGCACGGATAATCCAAATTTAGATCCTGTCTTTCAAACTGTTGGCATCATCACATTAGAAGATGTTATCGAAGACATGATTCAACGAGAAATTATTGAAGAAGCTGATTTATTTAGTGAGTCATTTCTTTTGATTATCTACAATATCTTGTGTAAATCTTTTCCTATTTCTTAAAGCTGATAATCGTTCAAAGATTCGTAATAAACGTTCCTATACACAAGATTATACAGCGCTAATTAAACGGGCGGTTAAGGGTAAGAAATATAGAACTGCTTTGTTGAACACTCTTTGATACGTCGTGTGTTTGCTATAGGACCAAGTATCAATCCTGCTCTCAAAGTGGCCGTGTTTCAGTTTTTAAACATAAGTGAGTTTCAAAATGACATTTGTAGTTTATCTAACAGCATGACTAACTGCATGTAACTATTTGATGAGTAATGATTGTGACTAACCAG